ATTAATCATCAATAAGTTATAGAAGAAACCTGTTGATTTGGATACCGGGAGACAAATGGTGATTTTATAATGAAAATATTGAATTTGTAATGATATGATAATATAAAAAACGTGAAACAAAAGTACATTTGTAATGTCGGTATTACATTATATTTAAAAAAAATCAACGCGTTAGGTAGTCAATTCTTGAAAACCTATTATCAATCATTGGTAAACCAATCATAATTTACTTTAAATAATTAGGTACCTAAAGTTTTTTTAAGATATCGAAAATTATTTCAACTAATGAAAACATTTAACCTGAACGTACTATAAATATTTAATGGTCACCAGTGCACAACAACAATGTACTTAAATTGTTTACTTGTATCAGAAATCACTTTTGTAACTATTACTATGGTATTCCAGCTGCATTTAACACTATTTGTGCGACATTTGAATTGCAGTAGAGTATCCTTTGCAGTGACACATTATAAAGCCCTGCTGGCTTCCAGATGCAACATAGATGCTGAGCGTTAATGAACTTGGGGGTATATCACAAATGTTAATTAAGTTGGTCTCAGAAACTGTAAGCTTGTTATCTGCATAGTGTCTGACGAATAGATCTTCCATGGTTGCTAACATAGATTCATGCTCATAACATACAGAAAATTACTGTAAGCTACACGTTCTCTATCAGCTTCAGAAGCTCTTACTAAAACGTTGGACACAATTCCAAGCTAGTGATTTTTTTTATTTTTCCACGTAATTATGAAGAGAACCGTTTTTTATGCTTGCTTCTGTAATCCTAAGTTTAGTAGGTTGACTTTTGTAAACATAAAGCAACACCAACATATTTCAAATACGTTTTTATTTCAATGACGTCTTTTTTATATTATATTTAATAATTACAAGTCCGCCATACAGCAGCTTTAAATTTTTAGCCGCAGAAAGAGTATAAAGGATATTGTCTGCGTGGTACCCGTTACAGGATAAAAAATATATTCTAAGAATATCTGCCAATAGTCAAGACCAGTATGACCCATATCTCATATCACTGTTCGTGGTGATCTAACATGGGTTATTTATATGGCGGCAAGTGATTTAACATGATTCCATACGCTTTGCGAGCTGTTTTTCCGCTCAATGATCGTTTTCGGTCCTTAAACCAAGAAATAGGGAGATTTTTTAGGGAATTCTAAAATTTTGGCGACTTTTTTTTGGTGGGATCGTTAGATTACTGCTTCCCAATAATAAGCTCAAATTGCAACTGTTTTGATAAACGCGTTTGATCGAAAAGTTGAAAACCATTGATAATATGTAAAAACGTAATAGGAATATTTTTGTAGGGAATTCAATTCATCATTTTGCAAATGGAGGCACATGTAATGACCTTCCTGCTTATAATGGCTAAACTAAAACACACTACTATTTTTTTGCAGAGAAGAAAATTTGCTACTTAAAGGTTTTTTACGTTTTGTCGACACCTTGATGGTTTTTGAGCTATAAGGAGGAAAAGGTGAAAATTCGTATCAAAAGTCACGCGACATACGTTGTCCTCGTTATCGGCGTACAGCATGGAGATAACTTTATAATCATTATCTATGATAAACGATACCATACTGAAGTGAATTCATTATTTTAATGCATGCGAAAGTGGGTAAAATGTGACATTTTTTTGTAATCTTGTATTCGTTATGAAGATCAAGTCACTCACTTCTATCAGCCTGTCTATTGGCGATTTTGTCACTGAGCAGTTTCAGCAACTATTGCAGCAATTTGATTGGAAGAGGAAAAGTTAGTAGAGGATTCTGGTTTATGGCATCACTCAATTTCTAAATGTCTCATAGACGGACTTATACAAGTGAGTGAACTGAATTCTCATGAATACAACATAAATTATCCGAAAATATTTCATTTTCCATACTCACGCGCAGCAGTGAAAAAATAAATTCACTTCGAAATGGTATATCCTTGATCACAGATAATGGCGGAAAAACATGTTGTATGCTGACACCTAGACAACGTACATAGAGTGCGGAGTATGCTGCTCGACTGTTTTTATACGAATTTTTCGCGTCTTGACATTTTTGTAGAATTTTTTTTCTGTAAAAAGTCGTCCTTATAGGCCTGGGTTCTTAGTTTGGTGATAAACAGAAATCTCATTACATGTATCATTACCGTTAAATTTCTAGTCACGTGTTGACTATAAGACATTTTTGTACAAACAAAATGATAAAGAATTTAATTCCTTAAAACATTGTTCCTATTACTTTTTTACACATTACCGATTATTCCCGAGATTTTAGATCATGTTTATCAAAATGGCGCCAAAAAATTAACTGTCGCCATAATTGTAGGCAAAAAGTACCTATTTTTTGGGCGACTTTGAGGGTAACATATGTAATAGGTCGGATGGATATAGAATCCATTTATGTTTCAATACTCCATTAACATTCCTGTAATAATAGCAGAATGCCTAAGGTGTAGACTTTGCCTTGATTTCACCAACTTCTTTTCCAAATTAAATTACTTGGAAAAGGATTGGTAAGCTACAACATTATTTTTATAAACGAATTTTATAAAAACAAGCCGGACATTTTTGAAAAGACTCACATTATACCATTATGTAGATAGTGATATCGATAATGTTTGCAACGATTTCGAGCAGTGGCACGAGTACAAGAGGTCCAATTTCAAATCAGATGAATAATTTAAAATAAAGACATTGAACTTGATCACTAAGTTCTATAATTTAAGAAAGCAATTACAATTTTTTTGAAAATCTGCGTGCTGTTATATTTTCTGATGTGGAATTATCGCTTAACCAAATCACTCTAACACGTTCTTAGATTAAATCATTTCAGCTCGACATTTTCTGGTTTAAATTATATTTCTCCACGGAATATTTTCTCGAGTAGCTGATACTTTATACACTCTAGATCACTTAGTAATCACTCATTGGGATGTTAAGTGCTCTCCTGTTTATTCCGACACCCTCGGAGATTCAAATTGAACTCGTCTGCTGCGAAATCTTATTTTCTCTCGGAGAATTTTCATGGTTTTTCCAACAGAACAAATCTGCGAGTTTGCGATTTTAAATTTTTACCAGCAATTTTCTCAGCGCTTGAACAATGCTAAGAGGGTAAATGAAAACAGAATTCTCGTCGCAGTTGCATAGGATCATTAATACTGCTTGGTATGGAAGATGATGTATTGCCGCTATCTTTCTAGCTTAAATGGGGAAAGTTTCAGATAGTTTCCTGACTGTGTTTTCATAACCTACTTTGTTATAGCGGTTTTTAGATGAATGGTGTGGTGTAGGTTGCGGATGCTGTTTATTAGTAGAAATGTTGGTTAGTTTGGTTCAAAAACAGTAGCAATACTTCTAGTGCATGGATTATAAACCCATTTTATAATAATAATAATAATAATAATAATAATAATAATAATGCTGCTAGAGCTGTCCCCGCTTTAAACAGAACACGGCGGATCTAGAGGAGCAAACCTCGAACAAAAACCCGCAATCTCATAGTGTTTACCGTGCTGAAGGGATGAATAGCACTGCGTGAGTGTGTTCATAACGGTTACCTTCCGAGACCGGGCGACCTCCGAAGTATATAGCCTTCCTGCAGCATCTGGGGCTCTGTTGCAGGTGGCGATACCTTCCCTAGGTACTCGTGGGATAGAGGATGAATAATGTTTGTAAAAAATCTAAGGAGGCGTCTGCCCTCCAAACAACTGAAAATATTGATAATGGCGTTAACGGCACCTGTGCTAATAATAATGCAGGTGCCGCGTCCGGCAACCTTAGTCGCACTGCTAGGGAGGTCGACATCATACAAAATCAACACGGCGATCAACATACATCAGACTCCGGTACAGGGGAATAGGACGGATATCGGCCAGAGCAGCTTTTTGCTAGTACTGACCCTCCTGTCCTTACATCATCGATAGTCACTACCAAAAGTCAAGCAAATAATAAGACAAATGAGGACTATCAGCCAGTATAAAGAATTAATGTGGTCCTACTACTATGCAGTAGATATCAAAGTTGTAGCACCAAAAACAGCTGGTACATATACGGTATGGCGTCAACGTAACCCAGACATATTTCCCAATATGAATGCAAAGAAGTTAAACAACCAGCGCAATCAAGTTGTCAAATTCAGGTGGCTTTCGGATTTGGAATTAGAGCAGAATAACTGGAGAAAACGCTCAAACAGTATCAGACGATCAGGAACTAGAGAATGCTGTGCCACAAAGGAATATAGCATCGCAAAGAGAGCAATATGAGATGCAACACAGCAGTCGAGATGATGAGGATGATAGTGAAGTGAGCGAGATGGAAATCAAAATTTGGGGGTCCATGAAATGAATATGGGGGTCCACGATAGTGGATCTCAACACATACACTGATATTTACTTACATCATACTATCTTAGAATATCAAAACATATACATTATTTATAAAAGTACCTATAAAGTTAAAAATTTATATATATTTTTATACAATTGTGTAAGTTGTAGGATGTTGGTATTCGCTTTGTGGTCGCAATACATTTTGAACTTGTAAAAACCTGAGAGTCGCAGTCTCAGAGCTTCGCTACCTTGCACTGACTTGTTCAATTCGTCACTCTATAAATACGAATGTGGGACAAATACGTTTATTCGTTTCCTGAATCTTGAAAAGGAAAGTGCTAAGAAAATATTTTAAAAAATATAAACAGATAGTATATCACACAAATTATAGTGAGTCAGTGTTGTTTTGTTTGAGAGTGCTGGTGAAAAGTAAGTTCATTATATTTTATTAAATTTTAGTTTTTTACTCGTAGTTGCTGGATTTTCTATCTTATTTAAATAATTTAATTTTGCCCACAGATGACTGATGCCATGTCCGAATCTAAAAAAGATGTAGACAGTACAGTGTTGATTATTTGAAATTTGGCTTCATTCCATCATTGCCGGACAAACAATCGCCTATGTGCCTTTTATGCAACAAAGTTTTGGGCAATGACGCTATGAAACCATCTAAACTGCAAGATCATCTGAGAAGATGCCACCCTGATAAAACAGAGAAAGATTTGAAATACTTTCAAACACTCAAAGATAAATTTCAGAAGAGACCTACACTGGACAGAATGTTCGCTTCGACGTCACAAAGAAATGATGATGGTTTGCGGGCGTCTTACAATATCTCGTTACTTATAGCTATATATAAATCCGGAAAACCGCATACTATCGGAGAGAAGTTAATTTTGCCAGCCGTTGAAGAGGTTTTAAAAACTGTTTTACACAAACCTGCATCTGATATCATTAAAAGAATTCCCTTCAGCAACAATACTGTTGAAAGACGTATTGATGAAATGAGTTCTGATATTGAAAGCTTCTTATGTAATTATTTGTAAACGACCCATTTCTCTATACAACTGGACGAGTCAACTTTACCTGATAATGCAGCATTATTATCGGCATATGATCGTTTTATTATGAATCAAGAAATCTACGAAGAACTGCTCTTCGCAAGAACTTTGATAACCGACACTAAAGGTGAATCAATATTTCAAGTTCTCAAAACACACTTGAACGCAAAAAATAAAATCAATGCCATCAATAGTTTAGCAGTACCTGTCCCCACGTACAGCTTTGGCATTATAAACTGGAAAAGAGACGAAATAAGAGGAATGGACAGGAAAACGCGAAAACTTCTCACAATGCACGGAATGCACCACCCATCAGCCGATGCCGATCGTAGTTATGTCAAACGGAAAGAAGGAGGACGGGGATTGGTCGAACTCGAAACGGCCTATGACATAGCCATTGTTAATCTGAGCGACTATATAGAGAAGGAGCCGGACAGACTCATGAGAATGGTAACAATTCACGAAAAAAGCAAAGCAAAATATTCAGTAATCAAGACAGCCTCAATCATACATGACCAATATAACATACAATCGGCTCATCATGAGTGTACTGCAAAGGAGGTACAAACTATTCAGAGGACGTTACATATACTAAAAAGGAATATCGAACAAAGGAGAGAAGAACGAGTTAAAAGCAAACCTCTCCATGGCCAGTACTTCAGAAACTTAGAAAAACTGCACATAGACCGAGCAGCAAGCCTTGCCTGGTTAAATAGTCCAAACCTAAAACGAGGTACGGAAAGCCTCATTACAGCCGCCGCAGGATCAGGCGCTAAATACCAAATACCACCAAAGGAGAATACTGGGTATAGATGTTGATAGCAAATGCAGAATGTGCCATGGTCAAGACGAAACAGTACAGCATGTACTTGCGGGATGTTCAACGCTAGCACCCAGTGAATATACATACCGACATAACAGGGTTGCTAGTTATGTGCATTGGAAGATAATAATAATAATAATAGACGTCTTTATTTATCCACAATTACATTGTAGTATAGCCAAATGTCAGACTTACATGGCGAAATTTAGCATGCTGCTACTCTTACACTTAACCATATAGTCTCTAGCAGATGCTCCAAAGAATACACTATCCACAAACAGATTTGGTTCATTACATCGAAAGTAAAAATTAAAAAAAAAAGAGAAAAATGCATACTTTCCAAACCGAAGTACACCAAAAAATTATTAATCTGAATTAAAGACGGAATAAAAAAGAAATGAATGATTACGTAAATTATATGTTTGGAGGGTTGAGTAATAATGTTTTAACTTTTTGTCGAAAGACAGGTAATGAAAATTCTTTATATACTTTAGGAAGGTCATTATAAATAATATCAACATTGTAAGAAAAACTGCGTATGCAGGGGTATTCTAATATTATTTTCTCTGAAAGTTTTACAGTGAACATCATTATTAAATGAAATTTTTTCCCTCAAGTAATAAGGTTTAGACGTGAGCAGCAATTTGTGAACAAAAACTGAATAGTGATACTTGACCATGTCATTAATTTTTAGCCAGTTTAAAACGGAATATTTCGCTGATACATGATCAAATTTACGTAAGCCAAAGATGAAACGTATACAATTGTTTTGAATAACTTGAATAACGTTTTTAGTGAAATTGTCTAAACAAGTATAGTAGACGATATTACAATAATTTAGTATAGATATGACCAATACTTCACATAGTTTTTTACGCAACTTAAAATTTAGTAAATACCTGTTTGCTATAAGAGTACGCATCCGTAGGTAGGTTTTCTGGGAAAGCCTTTTAACATGTTTAATAAACCTTAATTTTGTATCAAAAACAACACCAAGAATTTTTGCAGAATCAGAAAATTGCAAGGTTTGGTTATTTATCTAAATGTTCAAGAGCTGTGTTACATTGCATGTTTTTCTTTGTGCGCAAAATAATAACATTTTAGATTTTTGTGGATTAATAAGTAGGTTGTGATCTAAAGAGCATTTAATTACTTTACTAACATCGTTTTGTGAAATTTGAGTAGTATTATTGACATTATCTGGGTTAAAATAATGGAGCACTTGCGTATCGTCTGCAAATGACTGGACATGAGAATTATCAATACTTTTGCTTAAGTCGAACGTATATATGAGGAACAGAAGCGGCCCCAATACAGAGCCCTGAGGTACGCCTGGGGGAATTATTGTCACTTGAGACATTTCTTGACTGAGAAAAACACACTGAGTTCTTTGATGAAGGTAACTGTCGAAAAATGAAAGGGATACACTGTCAAGACCTATGTAATTTAGCAAGTAATAATTTATGATTGCTGCTGTCAAAGGCTTTCGAATAGTCTATAGAGATTAACGCTAGTGCCATTTTCTTATCTAAGGCACTTAAAATATTGTCTTGCAGATTGAGTAGGGCAGATGTTGTACTATAATTATTTCTAAAACCGGATTGAGTGTCGGGAAGTATAAAGAATTTTTCTAGGTAAGCGGTCAATTGGAATTTTATAATTTTTTCTAAAATCTTGGATAAAATTGGTAATAAACTGATAGGTCTGAGATCATTATACTCTGTGGGTTTCATTTTTTTAGGAACTGGAATAATTAGAGCTTGTTTCCATGTGTTTGGAAAGTAGCCTTTTTCCAAACAGTCGTTAAAGATGTGAACGATGTGACGGAGAATAACTGGCAGGCAAAGCTGGATCATTGACAGAGATATACCATCAATTCCCTTCGCATCAGATTTTAGGCTCCATATTGTCTGTAATACGTCATTTGAACTAATCCGATGAAAAAATATATTCGGAGCTTAATTTATTTTTGAAATAGTTCTCGCAAACTAGTGAATCAACAGGGTTGTAGCTATAAACAGACATAAAATAATCATTAATTCTGGTAGGGTCATTAAAACTTGCTGGAAGGGTTGGTTTACTACGAAAATTTATATCAAGTTGTTTGAGAGACTTCCACAATTTTTTGAATCATTTTCATTTGCCAAGTTTTCGACATATGTCTTTTTGTCCCTCCTGATCATGTTAAGAGCACGATTTCTAAGCAATTTGAAGTTGTTATAGGCGTCCACGGTCTGATTAGCTTTATATAAAGCTGGTGCAGTATTCTTTTCATCAAGAACAGTGCGCAGTTCATTAGTTAACCAAGGTGATGGTGGCTTATTAACTCTTACAGTTTTAAAAGGTACATGTTTATTATAGGTTTCCACGATAACGCTTGTAATGTGCATTACCTTCTCATCAATATTAGATTTCGTAAATAATTCGTCTATGCCCGATGTAGAAAAATCGATAAGAAATTGATCATCAATGAAATGTTTAAAATTCCTGATTGTGATAAATTTTTGTTTTCTTTTATAAGATGGAATATCAAAATGAAAAAATACGAATTTGTGGTTCGAAATACCATTCGTGTCCATGACGGAAGAATAGCTGCATGTTTGAGGATTATTTAAAAATATTGGATCGATTAATGTTGCAGTAATATTTGTGACACGGGTGGCTTCCGTTACGATTTGTGTGAACCCCTCATCTCTAAACTCAGTGAGAATATATTGTTATTAAAAAAATGTATATTCAGATCTCCAAATATCTCGATGTTATGATGATATAACGAAAGGCTGGGTAGGAAACCATTTAATAAATCTGCACATTGTTGTATGTTTTGAGAGGGTGGTCGGTACAAAACACCTACTAACAGTTTACACTTACCCGCAACCAATTTTACCCAAATGCTTTCGAAATAATCACCAAAATCTGTATGAATATCTACCTTTTCAGCATGTAAATTTGATTTAACATAGATTCCAACACCACCACCACGAGATTCTCTATCACAACGCAAGAAACAATAGTTGCTAATATTAACCACATCATCAGTAATATTTTCATTTAGCCACGTCTCTGTAACAGCGAATACTTCAAAATTTTCTAATGCTATTAAATTTACAATAGCATCAAAACTAGACAGGAGGGAACGTATATTCAAATGTCCGATTTGACTTTTACTACCAGCCATTAAGAGTATTTGAATCATACAGAATTTAGAAAAGATTTTGAGTATTCTAAATAATTCTTAAAATGATCAAAATAAAATTCGTGAGAGATGTCTTTGTTGAAAGAATTCATACACTGGGCAATTTTTGTCTGTCGGAAGATGATCGGTACTGAAAGATTTTTTTATACTGGTGATTTGAATACAAACAGTTGCAACATTAAATCGGAAACAATTTGTGCACTAAGACCCTTCATCAGTTTTGTATACAGATACATCTTGAAATCCTAATAGAATTTTTCCATTATAATCTTCAAAAATCTGTTTAAATAAATTACTTGTGACCTCTGCTTAAATAGTATAAAATTTTTTTGTGCAATATACTTAATAAAATTTATCTTAATATCTGCTTTTTCTATGAAATGGTTCTGTCTTGTGATGTCTTCTACTACCTCTTCTCCGGTAATTCGTTGATCTGTATGCTAGTCCACAATTTTGATTTTAGGTCTAAATATTTTTGGTTCAGATACCTGGTACGATGCTGGCAATTTTTTCTGAATTTCTTCCTTTAACTGAGCATGACTACTTACGCGGACCTTAATTTCCACACAACCGTTTCTAAAATGCTTAACGTCGTCCATTTTGATTTAAAGTTTAGACAAGCTTAAGTTTTTGTCTACATGTTTACGCGTCTTGAGGCTTGTTTGTTGCTGGCTTGGTATAATCGCTATGCTTTTCAAAGGGATTTCCTTGCTTTTTGTAGCATAGGTCTTTTTTACAATTTGCGAATACGGAGGGCTTGTCATACCTGATTTTTCAATTATGTCAATTCTGGTATTCACAAGTTGCTCAATCAATCTATATTTTTCTATTAATAACTGACTGTATGAATTAGCTTTTTCACATAATATTTTTATTTCCTATTTTAGCTCCTCATTTGTTGTTCTAATGCACTTACTGTTTTTAGGTGTTTCCGTTGGTGCATCACTTGGTTTGGTTACCACTATTTTAGCACTC